ATACATTCCAGTGTTTGACAGAAGGTGAATCCTCAGTAATCTCAATAACATTTTCAATTAAAAAAGGAACACTTGGCTTGGCCCCTGTAGCTCAGAGGCTAGGGCGCCAGCCACATACACTGGGGCTGGTGGGTTTGAACCTGACTCAGGCCTGCCAAACAACTACAACAAAAAAAATAGGGTGTTGTGGTGGGTGCCTGTAGTCCCAGCTACTTGGGAGGCTGAAGCAAGAGAATCACTTAAGCCCAAGAGTATTGAGGTTGCTGTGAGCTGTGATGCCACAGCACTCTACCAAGGGCGATAAAGTAAGACTCTGTCTCAAAAAATAAATAGAATAACAAAAAAAGGAACACTTTTAAACAAATGGTGAGTCATCCCTTAATCTTTTCTGTATCTCTTCCCTACCACCTCTAACCCTACTTACTCTACTCCCCACAGCATAGGAAAATATCATACACAAATAATACCCATGAGTCATACACACACACACACACACACATATCATAATAAGCAAACCAAGTGGCATTTATCAAACACAGATTTGGAGAATAGCAAAAAAATATATTTACTTACATTAAGAATTCTAAGCTCTATTTTAAGTAGCAGGATTGCATCATCATTCCTTGTTGTGTGTGTACATGCGTACAAAGAGAGGGTGCGTGGGGACTACAGACTTCTAAAAGTATACACAGTATGGGATCCAATTTAGAAAAGCTAAAGCAAAACAAAGTCGTGATAAAGCAAGAGTTCCCATTAAGAGAAAGCTATCCTGATCACTCAATGAATCTACTCAGGCAGAATCATTCTACATGTAATCTGCATCTCATATTTTTCAGGAGTGTGTTGCTACACCCATCATCTCCTGATTTGAATTCTTCCAGTAATAAAGTGCAATTCTTCAAACTAATAACCAGTCCAGCAATTGTAATGCTGATATATTTTAGATACAAAATTCAAATTGCTTTTGATACTTTGTCTAGTAGGGGGAAATTTTCTTCTCCCTTTACCCTTTTCTTAGAAAATTTAGTGGATGAGAAATGTAAGTACTTTTCTAAGTGCTTAGGATTATAGACTATTTTTACTTGTTCTTTACATTTTTTTAATGTATTTCCCTAATTTTTTT